AAGATCCGTCGAAAATTCTGAAGCTTCTGCCTAGTGTACTGTACAGATCTTAGTAGAAACGTGAGGTAGTTTACGCTTTCGTTCAACTTACACTGTTTTAAGAATGGATGTTTTGTGGCCGCTTCAAATTCGATACACTTTTCATCTTCTTTGTACCGAATATCGCGTGATCATGCCGGCGTCGAAGGTTGGAAATTATGTACTTCCTCAGTTTGAGTGTCTCGTCCGTGACTGTGTACGAAACGCTTTTCGAAGTCACTTTTGCCCTTCTTTATGCTTTTTTACGACATAAGCTGATCTGCTCCTCTTTTCTTGAGATTTTTCCGGATTCGAATCGCAAAAATTCGAACGTTTCATACTTATAACATTATGGCTCATGTTTAAAGCTGTAAACATTCGAAAACAAAACAAGAATAAAACAGAATAACAACTTGCTATGAAATAATAGCTCGATGTTATGTAGCGATGCATTTCGCCCTACATCGAAGCTTGCCAGTGACGTACAAAGGAATATCCAGTGAGACGCGCGGAGAAAACTGAACAAGCGTGAACTTGGCGGAAAGATTCAGCGTGGCCATGCGTGTGATCTGACATGAGAACACCCATTTAATGTATCTTAAAATGGCTTGCAGGTAGGTTCTGACTATGGGAATGTCCCTGAAGTGTCACATTGTTTCAGTGCGTGGTACATAAACCGCAACAAGACACGTTTAATCTACTGTATTTTTGTTTAAAATATGTAGTTCCCATTGGCTGAGCTGTCGCATAAAGACAGTGAACCAGTCACCCGTTTGCGGAGACCAACGTGGGTTTGACGTCTTCACTGTTATGTGTTGTGTCCACTCAAGAATGGATTGCGAGAAAGCCATGATAACTGAGAACTTGTAACAAACAGGAGCACTATAAACCATGCGCGCAGTTGTGCATACCTATACTTTATACAAAGCGGACTAAGAACTGAACTTGTATTTAATACAAATTGAAATGAATATTAACCATGCGTTCGGTCGGTTACACTGCCACCCTCTCCTAATATTATACAGTGAAGCATACTAAACTTTATATCAAATTAAAATTGAATACAAATATAAATAAAGATAGCGGTTTGATAATTTACAGCGTTGGAACACGCCCAGTCGCGATTTACCAGTCACATTCTCACACGAACATGCGTAAGGCCTAGCGCACACATGCAATTTTTAGTTGGCCGATAGTTGGCCGATAGTTGTGCACGATCGTTGAGGCCCAACGACTGTCGAGGGACGTGCGCACACATACAATTTTTAGTTGGCCGATAGTTGGAGTTGGAGTAGAATTTTTCATAAGTGTAGTAAAAGCCTATTGTACCATTAATACAAGATGAAATCAAGTCAGACATAAACAGATACAAAGACCGAACAACAGAGCATGTAAACCAGCTCATAAGTGACCTATTCACTCAACCCTTAGAAAACAGAAGACTGAAAAAAATCTGGCCAGAAGACCTCGATGAAGTGTAATAATACGGAGAACCATTACTGAATGGTACCCGTCACAACCCTCCGAATTTTAAACCATTTACTAATTACTCATGCTGCTACTATGGAGTAGATTGTAAATTTGCAAGAAAAAAAAAGCCTGTTGCGTGCTGCATAATTACGTCCGGCAGAAAGACCGTATTCACTTTATGGATACAGTGTATGAGTGCCCACTTGAAAGTATTCCTCCTTACGGAGTTCGCGGAAATTTATCGGGAATTAATATTAGGGAGCATTTCGCTTCTTATTTTACTTCCCCTCAAGGAGCAAACTGTAAGTTCATTTCAAAACTTGTTAAATCNATCATCTGGAGCTGGTACAGTAGGCCAGAAGTGGCCGCAGTACAAGGGACTACTCCCACCCCACTAGCGATAAAAAAAAAGAGAAGCTCTGGTGCTTCTAACTGTCGTCACCTGTGTTTATAGTGTTACATGATACACATGACACTGTTGAGCGGAACCGTATAGGCCTTCAGCACTTTAAAGCACATATAATTTGCTGGCTGATGCGTCTCTAAGATGAGACGTACGGCCAGAGAACATATCGTCTTAACTATTAGAGGCCTTGCGTTCAGCAATTCTGTGCCTTCCACTGCCTCCTGCCCTCTAAATACACTGAGACGGAATCCGCATCGATTTTCAGCAAAAACATTTTTGTATGATCGATATTTCTGAAACATCCATTGCTTTTTCTTTCATAATGACGGGGACCAATATCTTCTCGCTTATAGGATATAAAGGTACAAGCTAACAAGATCAAAATAAAATCGAGTAGGTTTAAGTTTAACCGTTAAACGATCGCTAGGGAGGTATCGAGGTTTTATGTCGTGTCTCTCTTTTGTGCGCGATGAGGTCTTTTCGGGAGTTTGGCGAACTTCAATGAGAGATTAAGGACGGGAGAGAAAGTGGTTTTCGCCTGCCAACTTTGGATGTAAAATCTGCACATTTAATGAATTCATTAATCTTGAGAAGATGCGACGTCCTCACGTATGCAAGTCATCAGGGAGATTGGGATGACTGGAGTCATCACATTTCCTGTTCGCTCTATAAAATTTACACAGTCCCAAATACTAACACAAATTCAGTTTGATGTTATTTCTGTGGTGAGTGTTATGAATAAGATCTCGTGGGTTGGATCGCCGTGTAGTTTTATGTAGGTACCCTGTTTGATGCACTATGCTACAAGCCGGAAGGTTGCGGGTTCAAGTCCCGATGAAATCATTGGATTTTTTCAATTAACCTAACCATTCCAGCCGCTCTATGGCCCTGGGGTTGACTCAGCTTCTAACAGAAATGAGTACCAGGAATTAATTAAATAATTCTCCTGGGGAGTAAAGCGCGGCCGGCGCGTAATGCTGACAACCTTACCGCCATCTTTCAGCCGATTGCCTAGATAATGTGAGACCCTCAACATCTCACGACCCTATGGGCCTTCACGACCTGTTACAGGGATAGCTTTACTTTATTTTTTTTTTTACCTTTTGGGGGAACATGTCACCATCTTCAGCAAGTTCCCCCGAAACGTCGGGTCCTAGCTAGCAAACTGTACATCCCAGAAGGCCGTAATGTTAATCCCTACACAAGATTGAGTTGATGTCCATACAAATTTCACGACCACGCTCTGTAATTGAAAGACTGAAAGTCGCAAGAAGATCTTTCCCTCAGATTGCATTATTCCTTTGTGAACTGGTTACGTAGTCAGCAATTAATCATTCTAACTATGATCTCACCTGCTTTGAACACGTCATCGTTTATGATAATTTGAGCTTCTCGTAGTCCCCGTTGCTACGGCGCTGATCGCCGCACCACGCTGCTTGACTGGTATTCAGAATACAGAGTTTGATACTAAGTAGCTTCTGTAAATGTGTGCACACAGTAATCCGGAGGCTACTCAGGACCTACGTCAAAGTGCAGTTTAAAATCTCAAGTAATTTTCAGGTGACGTAAGAGGTAAGCACTGTATACCATGACGAAGTACAGAATGAATGGAGGCAAATCTGCACTAGATGAATGTAAAAGTACCATCGTCAGTAGTAGGAAACTGTAGTGTCATCCTGTGGAAACAGTTCGTATGCACTTAATGTAGGCGTGCTCTTGCATAAGACTCTGACACGTTTGTTATAACTTCTTGAACTTAGGACCCGTTGGGGGGCAGTGTTCGTATTATCTGCAGTTTCTTTGATAGAATTATAAGCAGAGGCGGAACGAGAGTGAAGCGATTGATCGTCACTTTCGAGTGGGTAGCCCTCCTGCTTTGTACTAGCGAGGTGCCGTGTTAAAATCTGGCCACAGATGTCAGCCGTTTCTTGATTTTCCTCAGTATCTAGGGAGATGGGGGATACTACTTCCAGTTAGGATATGGCAATGAGTGTCATCAGGAAAACAAATGGGGTCAGGGCGTTCCGGTACGCAGTTCCACGTTGAAAGAAATTTGTATTTATCATGTACTGAAGCCGTTATCGTTACCTGACGATTGCTTACCACTCTGAACGGAAACAGATCACGAAAGGCATGCAATTAAAGAAGGTGACTCTTCCAGTTTAGAGGTCGGAAATTAAAGAGGTTCTAATAATTTGTATATTTTACAACACTGTCTTTGAAAGAGGTGCCAAGTCGGCTCCCCCGCACTCATAAAAGCGCCAGGGCACCGCAGTCCTGGCTACGACCGCTTCCTCCACATCCTTTTCGTTTTGTTTATTCACGAATCAACCTACGGTGCGAAGCTACTGACAGGGTCGTGAGGCGAGCAGGTAGCGGTCCTTGGCGCAGCTGGAAAGAGGAATGCATCAGCCAGTTAATATATACCCTTAAATAAAAACATGAATCTTTTATTTGTGATTTATTAATATAGGACGTTCAACCATCTAGGAAACCGGGGAGCAGCGCACAGCGGACACAACATTTCTCACAGATTTGTGCTGTAACTGCGGATAGCACAGGGGTCAGGGAACTTTTTTACTTATTACCCGAAAATATATTTATTTACGCCGACGTTACCCCCTTGATTTGAAAGAGAGAAAATCATAGATTAGTCAAATTCAAAAGGTTTATTGAATCTATTTATATGGAGAATACAATTATAAATATAAAAAGTATAAAAGAAATGCGATAAAATACGAGTAAATTAATATCCTCATTATGAAACAAAAGGATTTCTTAGAAAAAAATTTGTATTTCAGGTTTTGGAGATATGATGTTTCATTTTTGATACAATAACATCAGAATTGGGACATTTTGATGTCAGAGCAATTTGCATACTGTCTTCGGGGTCCAATCGATTTCTCTGCTTTGTTTTTATGTTCAGGAGACTGGAAAATCCTTGTTCGCAAAGGTAGGTTGTTGCAAAGGGCAGCAACTTTTTGACTGCCTCCTCATGTGCAATTCTGAAAGCATTTGCAGCTCTTGACATCCAAAAATATGACAGATCTGCTTTGTTTTCAAATTCAATACGTGCTTCATTATTGGATCGAAGTTCAAGAAGTGTCTATGCCAAACCTTGAGGCTCTTCTGGTACATCAGCAATTTCACATTTAAAGGGATCTACAACCCAACTGACATTATGTGAACCAAGATCTGGAAAGTAATCATCGAACCGCTTTTTGAGTTTGGTAAGATGCCTTATAACTGTGTCCTTGATGTCGTCAAAAGTAATATTTTCACAATCTTCCAAAAACAAAGCCAACCTTGAAAAGGCAGCAATCTTGTTTTGTTCTGCTTTCTGTCTCCAATATAAAAGCTTTGATCCAAACGCTGAAATCTTTTCTCTGGCTGAAATTATATTGATGTTTTTTCCTTGCAATTCTTTGTTCAATGCATTCACATACTCAAAAATGTCAGCTAAATATGCGAGATGTGCAACCCACGAGGAGTTTGTAAACTTATCTGCGAGAACATGCTTTTGATCAACCATAAAAATTTCAAGTTCAGTTTTGAGAACCCACACTCGGTTCAGAACATTTCCACGTGACAGCCACCTCACTTCTGTATGATAAAGTAGGTCTGTATATTCAGCCCCACCATCTGTACATAATTCACGAAATAGTCGCATGTTTAGTACATGTCCATTGAAAACGTTGATAACATCATGCATGACGGCTTCCAGTGCAGGTTCCAAACGTTTCACAAGCAGTGCCTGGCGATGGATCATACAGTGGTTAACTTCAATTTTTGGATTTTTCTCTCTCGCCAAAGCCGAAAAACCACTAACATGACCCAACATAGCTGGAGCTCCATCAACAGACAAAGCAATGCAGTCTTCCCACTTTAAATTAGCGTTATTAAAGTATTCATTAATTTTATTGAAGACATCAATTCCACGAGATCGCAACTCGAGGGGAGAACAAAACAACAACTCCTCTTCAATTGCATGTAAACCTTTGTAACGAACATACACCTTCAGCTGCGAATTACTACTGACGTCTGTAGTTTCATCAAGCTGAATAGCAAAGGATTTACTCTCTTTTATTGAAGAAATAACTTGTTCCCTCACATTTTCTGCTAAAATAGAAATTCTTTCTTTCACAACTTTTGCAGACAAGGGCACTGAATTTAGTTTCGCAGCTTCTTTCTGACCACACATAATCTCTGCCATTTTCAAAGCTGCTGGTTTAACCAATTGCTCACCAATAGTATGTGGTTTCTTGTTTCGGGCAATCAACCAGGCCACTTCAAAGCTGGCCTTTGATGCTGAACGTTGATCGAATGTACTTCTCAAGTTGCTGTTCAGTCTTCTTTTTTGACAGACATTTCCAAATTTGCAAAGTATTCCCGCGGTTTGGACAGGTGTGGGTGCAAATTATTCAAGTGTTTCTTCAACTGACTCTTTTTGAAAAATTCTGCAGTCAGTACTTTCAAACAGACAACACACTGTGGTTTCATTATTCCTTTGTCTTCTATTTGTGTAAACCCATAATTGAGGAACTCTTCCTGGTATATTCGTTTTCTAGTTGATGTCATCTGAGGGGTAAAAAAGACAGTGATTCAAAAAGTTTTAACTCTTCAGCACACGCGTTTCTTATAGTTACACGAGGACATGCGTAATGTGGAGGAAACCTCCGCATGTACAATATGTGTAAGTCAGTACTGGAGGCCGTGCCATAGCTCAGGTGGTTAGTTGCACATGTACTATAACACAAAATTACCGATTCAGTGTGACAAGCTCAAACTGCTACTACTGCACATAAATGATAGTGCGTCGGTTTCATGAAAGACTTCATTTCACTTACTTATTAAATAATGATTGAATGAATTTATTGATAGTAAATCCTTGCTAACAAGACACTATCTTACCTTGATCATCAAAGTTTTTGAGCATAAGATAAAACAATAGGTGACTAGGCCAAAATGACTTATACAAAACGTGCGCTTCAGCTGGCTGCCGAGCCACAACTAACGCTATCGTCCACAACATGCTGGGTGCGTTTATCTATAGAAGTGTTTAGTGATTACGTCACGCTGCCATGATGGACTCTTAAACAATTTCCGTAGCAGCTGTTCTTACGGATGGTTATATGCCGGAAGAAAAATTTCTGTCGTAACAAGGAACGCATTTTTTATATAATTTCATTTATGTCTATTGAGTCCTCATTACCCCAAATAATTTCATTTTTACCCCACTTGGGGTAATTTACCCCGGTTCGCCGACCACTGCGATAGCAGAATTAGTCATTGGCCCTGATAAACGCGTGCCGTTAGGTGGCCTGATCTTGTCACGGCAGTAAGTCGCATTAATAGTCTTTCTTAGAGATGTCAATAGGCGGTTGACATTTATACTGAAATGAAGTTCACTATTGAACAGAGTGTGTTTATTGTCGAAACTTCTGCAACAAAAAGTCTTACAAAAATGTATCCGTAAGTTTCGTCGTAAATACCCTAACTCAACAGGTCCCACAAAGTCGTGTGTATCCACATTTGTGAAAATGTGGCGTGTTATTTCATTAGAGCTTCAGTGCTGCGAGGATTATTCTTGCGGACTCTTTCCTTCAGAAGAAAGCAGTCTTCTGGGATGTGGCGCCGTGTAGATTGTGTGTTAACCAACGTTTCGGAGGAACGTATCGCCTCCATCTTCGGGGTAGAAGGAAAAAGAAGAAAATCCACGAGCGAGGAACCAGCGTGAGCAGGTGCTTACAGACTAATGTTGAGAATAAACCCAGCTGTATAAGAGCAGTAAGAGAAGGGGGAAGGGCTACATGGGAAATCAGTCCGGTCAAAAATAGCCTGGGACTAAGAACACCGGGTGTACACAGAATTTCCTGCGATTGCGGCAAGGTCTATATAGGGCAGACGGGCCGATCTGTGGACACGAGGTTGATGAACATCAGCGGCACATCCGTCTCGAACATCCAGACATGTCAGCTGTGGCTGAACACAGCATCGATTTGGGCCTCCACATTCAGCTTCAGAATACCTCCATCCTCGCCACCAAGACCAGTTTTAAGGATCGCATCATTAGGGACGCCATTGAGATTGAACTCATCCCGACATTATGAACAGAGAGATGGGGTTTTGTCTCAGGAAGTCCTGGAAGCCTCTCATCTGTTCCATCAAGAAACCTCGAGGGCATGACGCCAGAACCACAAGGCCACGCAGGTCCATGCATGACTCACATAGCAACCCCGAAGCTTTAGGGTTAATGCCCTCCAATTAACTTTGCCTTTCTCCCCCGTACACAACATTCTATATCTGCTCTGGCCTGCTACCTGCTGGCCCACCTCCCCAGACCCTTCCCCTCTCCTCTCTACTGATTTCTCCCTTCTCTTCCTGCTCTTATACAACTGGGTTTGTTCTCGACATTAGTCTGTTAGCACCAGCTCACGCTTGTTACTTTATTGCGAAAACGAATTCCTGTTGCGTAATCTGGTTGTTTCAGCTCATGCACAACTGTTATTTTATACGTGCGAAATTTGATTAATTTTGTGGCTGTGAAATCAGATCCTTTCGAAACACCAGTTTCCTGTGCTAAGCGCATACCGATTTTCGAGAACTGATCTGCAGTCGTGCCTCAGTATCCCTAACTTTTTCTTTAGTCAGCACAATCCTCTTCGATTGCTTCTTTATGTCAGGCACTCAATCTGTGGCCCGCCACTTTTTCACACGACTTTGTGGGAACTGGCGAGTCAGGACATTACGACGAAACTTACGGATATATTAAGCGGCCTAGGGGTAACGTTCCCACCTCATGACTCAAGGTACGCGGGTTTAAACCCGGCGGAGGTCGTGGAATTTTTAAGGGCAGAAAAATTCGGGGAACAAGTCCACCGGGAGAGACTTTAAGCCGTGTGTCCCGTGTCTTATATTTACGGCACGTAAAAGATCCTCATGTCTCTAGGAGACCTCAGCAAAATTAGGCAAAAGTTTCCCACCCAAGTAGTTTCCAATTCCTCCGGTAGATGGGTAAGTATCGGGGACCATTGCCAGATAGGGCCGGCCTCGCTGGCAGAACGGGGCTGATAGCAAGCACCAGTACTTGAATGGCATGGCGACTGGTAGAATAATTAAAGGGGGACGCACAATAGATTAGCAACTAGTCGCAGTGCATGGGGAAACCCACCCCCTCCAAAATAATAATAATAATAATAATAATAATGATACATTTTCTCTAAGTTTTTTCCTTGCAGAATTTCGACAGTGAACACGCTGTTCAGTAATGAACTTCATTTCAGTATCGACACCAGTAACGAAGACTGACTATTAATGACAATATCAGGCCTCCAGCGCTAATGACAGCAGCACTCTGGGAGAAATATTCTTTCCGTTGTGCGTTGTTGCCAGGTTTCCCACGTCCGTTGAACGCATTGTAGCAAATAATTAGTTCTGTTTTTCAAGTCAGAACTTTAGCTTTACTAAATGTACACGATATATTGGAACTGAAGTTAGTATCAAATTGATTTATGAACCTACGTTTTATATAGCAGTTACATTGCAGATAAAAATATAAATCATTTCCAGTGGGCACTCACCGTTCATGTGAACTACAGAAACAGCTCCTCCAACTAAATAACATCGAGTTCTATATAATTTCTCTGTCGCTACGCCTATGTGAAATTAAAAGAAACCCCGAATAGAGAGTCAAAAATTACGTATTAAACTGTTGGTTGGTAGGCAACGACGGTGATCTATCCTAGCGCTTTTAAATTAACTGAATATGAAATGACTGAGAGGTTTATTTGTATTTGATTATCGGTACTTTGAATTCAAAATTTTATATTTCGATATGAATACAGCTATATCATAAATCTGTAGTATCATATTCCATTGTAA